CTATAAAAATAAATATTAAAATAATTATTAAATTATAAATTGTTCTATTTGATCAATGTTGAATTCCCAATGTTGTATTGATAAAAATGTTTTGTGAAAAATACTTTAAAAATTCACCAGTCTATGTTATCAATTGTGGAATAAAATAATGTGCTCTGGAATATTTTTTCTACAAGATGTAATAAGATCATTTTGGGGCCTGTTTTTTCCATACTCTTATTATCGACAAAAGAAAATCAATCTTATTACGTTGTAACAAACGTCAAATTGGATCTATTGTACCTTACCGATTATAGTGTTTTGTAAGCGTCTGAGTGAGATGGCTTCGCACAAGTAGCTACAAAACAACGCCACTAGATGGGTAATTTAGGTAAAGATGCATCCGAATATCCGATTTCTAGTTATTACCTACAATGAAAGTCAAGTAATTTTCCTTTTGTATTAAAATATAAGTCATACATTTTATTGTATTAAGAGTTATTTTAGTATTAGTGTAATGCTCAAATGGTAGCAGTCATGTACGCATAGCAGTGAGCACTGTTGAATGAGGGGGAGTCTGTTTTTCCAAATGTTATGTTAATTTTTTTTTGTTGACTGGACGACTGTTTGTTGATGGAACTCGTGCCTCCGACCAAAGCCGGAACCAGTGGATCTGTCTATACGACACTTGATGACTTAAAAAATATTGAATCAAGCAGTTGATGTACTGTTAATAATGTCGTTACAATAGAAATGTTTATATGAACCCCAAACTTCATTAGGTAATAATAGCACTGTCTATGTAGGTCTTACAGTTAGTCAAGGCTACGTCTAGACAGAGCAATCGTGTGCGTTAAGCGGAGTTAAATGGGGGCGTGGCAGCGAGCCCAAGTTGCCGTACATTCGCTAGGGATCTGCCATTAAGTAAATTTACTAAATAAAAAAAAAATTGATAACCCTTCGACGATGACGAATGTCTAGACAAAAGCGGCATTTAATGCAACATCAAAGACCTTGACCAACTGTTAAGTTTACACGCTGTGGTACTGCTAAATAATGTTTAAATGTACCTATTTACATACAGAAACAATACTGGTAATTATGAGAAAATGGTTATGCAAATTATTACTTTACAAAATCTAGATTTGAGTATTTTATAGTAATTTGAAAAATCCATATCAATTTTCTACCTTTTCATCCGCACCTAATGGGTTGAATTAATTTGCCTATCGCCTCGCGGATTCCACCACTTGCGCTATCTTTCTCGCTCTAGCAAATGGCGGTTTTGAGCGATGGAAAAGGATAGCGTAACCGAAAAACGCGATATTCCTGGATGTAGCTCAACCCTTTTAGTAATACAGACTAGCGTTAGGTTATTTTTGTGAAGTGGGATCTTATCGTAACAGATACCATTATAATTGATAAATAGGAACCAAATAGGCTAGAAAATATCATATAATAATATCAATTCGGATACAAATATAATTGTAATTAATAACATATCCAAAGAAATTCTGTAAAAAATTGTACAGTAAAATGGGGTGATAATAACTTTGAGTTGTTTTCTGTAAAATATGTATGTAGTTTAAAAGTTATTTTTGTAGTGTCTAGTACAGTCGCCAACATTACTGTTTCATTTTAATATCGTTGACGTCTTAATTATGTTATTGTTATAAGTACTGCTTTTTACTATAAAGATTTGTTGTAAACCATGTTGTGTTATAGGCACATCAATATATAGTAAAACTGAACTGTACAAAGGGTAAAAGCGGGACCCTATCCCAAAGACTTTCCTGTTTGTCCGTCTGTCATCAGGTTGTATTTCTTTTGCCGCTATAAGAACAAAGACAAAAAAAACTAGAATAAAGCAAATAATTTTGAATAGATCAGTTCGTGCGCGAATCTGACTCACACCTGGCTGGTTTTTTAAGATGCACAACTTTTTATGATATTAGGTTCTTTAACTTTTTTGGCGATGGATTTTTTTTAAACCAAATATGAATGAGCTCAGCAATTGAACAAAACCTATCACCCGGTTTCTGAATTGAGAATTTGAAGTAGAGCACGTCTCAAACCGTGCTTAAGCCATTTTAAATGTCATTCAAACATGTTTTCATTACCGATTTGTGATTATTTAATGATAAGTTGATAGAAATTTGATAAAACTAGGACTTTTTGCCTTATAAAAAGTAGAAAATTTCCATTATTGAGAATAATCAGTTGAGATTTTGTACTTTTATCAATTCATAAACCGGCCGTATGTGTACTATTTATTAACTATGGATTACATACATATTAACTTTGTATCCGATCTATGCCCGATATTTCAGTATAACCCTATCGTTTACTTTAACAGAAATGCTATAGTGGATTTCCAGTTGCAAAAATTATGTTAAATTGTTTTCATATTGAGTTTGATTTTTTATTCTTTTTTTTTGCAATATCGATTTGTTGGTGATTGTACTAAACAGAAAATAAGTTACTAAAGTGAAAGTTCATTTCGTTACATCATGTTTTGTTGTAAATAAGGATATTCGCTTGTAAGTGTAAATTATGTACAAATATGGTGTTCTCTGATGTCAAAGACATGGTCGTGTTTCTTATGTTAAACTGTTTGCCAACTGTTTGTTTGTGTATAGTAGAGTTTCATGCACTTGGACCAAAGAAGTTTAACAAGGAGGTGGATATTTTTAAAGTGCACTAAAATAATTTCGCACTTTTAATCTAGACAAATATTGTATTTAATAAACCAATAGTAACTTTGTTTGGTAAATGTTTAATTAAATGCTAGAAGACGTGAAGACTGATTTTATAAATTCAATAAGTAGAGTGACGAGTTGACTTGTCTAAGGACTTAACTCGCCACTACATATATGAGTGTAAATTGAACTTAACATACTACATTTCCGGAAAATTTCAAGTTCATTTTCGTGTTTTATATTTATTCATAACTTTGAAACGGTTTCGTCGTGTTTGTAGTTTATTTTATTGACGTTTCGGACCCTTTACAGGTTCTGTGTTCACGTAAGACTAAGGACTAAAGTTTTAATTAAGAGTATAGCTATCATCAAAACAATACTTGTGAATTTTGTGAAAATTGTGAAACGTCAATAAAACAAAATACAAACACGATGAAACTGTTTATAAGTTGTTTCATTTATGTTAAGTTCACTTATAATTTAGACAGACGGCATTCGTAACTCGATTCTGATGATTGTTTAGTGATGGTTCTATTTTAAAAGTGCGATTTGATAGTTTCTACGTTGTATTCGGTTGTTATACAGACAGATCCACTGCGTTATTGTAGGGCGGTACCAAAAGGCCTTAGTGATATAGCGCGGGTGAAACCGGGCGCGAGCTTATAGTCGAGTACTACGAAGGTTATGTAACCCGCAGACTGCCTTGGACTTGATCCAAAATTTTTGGTAAAAAGCAAAATATATGTGTTTTTATTACGACTGAATCTTTGATTTATACACCCAGTACCGGTTAAGATAATTCCCCAAGAAATTCCCAATACGGAGTATCCATAGGCAAATAATTTCCACATAGTCTTGTAGAAGACGACTGACAACTGTCCAAAGTCACCCAGAGTCTTGCAAGAACATTTACACATTTGAAAATCAAGTTAATTCTTAGTATTTTTAATGGACATTTCGTATGTCATAGTAAATTCAGTATCATCACATATGTATAGTATAAAGGGAGAAGATAAGGCCAACAGATCGGGGAGTAAGAGACGGAGAGCGACGGGAATTGTGTAATTCCGTTCGTCGACATTTGCCGCGCTTTTGCGTAGGCTTCCATGAGATAAGTATTACTTTGATTTACTGCACTGATGTGTATGAAACAGTAGTATATAGTTGAAAGTCGATCTTAGTTAAAATGTTTTATTAATAATAAAATTCCTATCATACATAGGCAATCTTTCCTCACTTACATAATAAAATATCAATAATGGCACTTTGTTAGCTTACATTGATTTATTGGAATATCTTTGATATTCATAAAAATAGAAATTATAGATGTAAACACCTATTCTAAAAATTATAATTTTGCTGTTTAGAAACAGATGGGACCTAATTCATAGATTTTTAATTACATATTTTATTGAAACATGTTTTAAAAATATTTAATATACGTGGCGTTAATTTATTAAATTTCATTCTATGATTTTGTCCAAACTTATTTTCGAACAGTAATCTTGAAATTTCTTATAATATTTATAATTTGAGATTCAAATGTTAATTTACAAAGTATTTTCGTTGTTAACATAATATTGCAATTTTATAACTTAACAGACCACATTTACTTTTTTCGTGAACCAGTAATGAGACTCATTTCAGAGTATTAAATAAATTGCTTATTATAAAGAAAATATCGAACAAGAATTTATTAGCATACCATTCAAGTAAAATAAATTATTAGACACATTTTAAAAATAACCATTTTGTAAATTAATACAAAATCTCGAAATTATGCTTGATTTATCGAAATACATAGTTTAGTCAGATCTTAAATCATTATTTTTTGAACAGGAAAATTAAAAATTATAAGAAATTTTCTCCATAAACATTTACAATATATTTTTTTATTTATAACAAAAATTTATTAAAACACTTCCACATCAAATTAACGGCAGCCAATATAGAACAGTAATAGACCATTAACTGTTAATATTAAAATATCGTTTTTAGTATACACTTTAGCACATTAAATATTGTAAAATGTAATATTAACTGAAACTGTTTATAAAATCAAAGCTAATTTTCGTTACAGTTTTCAAAGCAACACGTCACGTTACTACAAAAGGTAAAATACGTACAATCTCGACTTTGACATAATCAGATTTTAAACCAATTTCGCAAGGATTTCGTATAACCTGACATGTTGTCTACTGTATACATATCACAAATGTCAATTTATTGCAATTGATTTTGAATTTTAATATCATTGCAATAAAAATTTCAATGATGTGGAGTAATACCGAGTAACCCGACGTGTTGTCTATTGTACACTAATTACAATATAACGCAGGGCATAGCGCAACAGAGCGGTAGACATACGGGTACCGCAGTCTTACGTTCTGAATGTTTCTCCTTACTGCGGGCGCCTGACTCGTATTCGTACATTCCTCTACCTGAAGCATAAGCTCCTCCACCCTGCATCGCCTGCTGACAAACAGAGTTTATTAGTACCTTAATTTTATAGTCACCTACGTACCTACGAAGGATAAATTACGAAGCGAAATCAGGCCGAGAGGTACATCTAAAATGTTATATTTAACACCTTATAATTATTGTATTAAGAATACAATGCAAACGTACAAGATTAGTGTCATCTATTGAGACAGGAAAATGTTATATTATAAATAAAGTCAGTGTTTCTCAATCTATTAACTGAGGACACCTGGGGGGCCGTAAGTATTGGTATGGAGGTAGTATAACGTCACACGTTTTATATTTTTGTTTGAAGTTACGGGACACGCAATAATGATTTTAAATTTTGAAAAATATACGTAATGTGTACTTAATTAATAAAAATTACTTATGCAAGAGAAATTAAAAAAAATAATGTCTTTAATTTAGTATATAATAGGTAACCCTATTTTATACTCCATTCACTATAACATTAGAAAAAAGAGGGTCATAGAAGCAGCAGTGCAGAACATTTAATTTTCAAGATAAATTTAAAAAATCTATATTAGTTTTGTTGAAACTTTGAACGTTAAGTAGTCTGAAAGAGCTGGCCAATTTTCCATTTTTTATGATACCTCGGGGTTGAGATGAGGCCAGCATTTTATAAATTCATCTTTTAGTCCCAAGCCAACATGGAATTAAAACTGAAACTATCTGTGTGTTTTGATAAATTCTAATTATAAGTGTAAAAGTTAGACTATTGATAAAGACATTGGAAAAACTCCCTGAAATGTCAAAGTTTGAGGGTAGGTATGGGAGCTTAGAGCGTAATTTTTGTAGGCCACTCGGGCCTGTACCGGAATCGTCCATATTTACCAAAACTTAAACCCAAAAATAAAACAATAACATCACGGAAAACGGCTAAACAACAAGAAAGACAGTAGCATTCACAATGGATGATAATCTAGATTACGATTTTAACAATTATGAATACATTATAGTCTGACAAAATTAAAAAGCTGTACTGCCGAAACGCTTGAAGGGGTTAGGCAACGTTTTAAATTTGGTAGAGTTATAGTGACATGAGAATCGTGCCGAAACTATCTAACCCTGCTTCTTTAGGTTCTTTACGATGGACACTTTTTATTGTAATACTTATTAAATCATTTAAGTTAGTCATGTACTCATAAATTTGTTTAATAGTAAGCTTAAATGACAACAGTTAAGTATAGCAGCTGATATTTAAGTGAATATGTAGCAAATTAGCCGTCAGTCTTAAAAGTAACATGATTATTGATATTTTGTCACAAAGTATACCATAAAAAGAACCTTATTTCACTTCTGTCTAATGCTATAATGAATGGAGTATAAGTTAATATTATTAGAATTGATTCATGGTGTTTTATAGATAACCTGTATATACCCTGTACCCTAGATTGGTTCCAACTGATACGATACTCACGCTAGCTTGGTAACCTTGTACTTGTGCTTCTGGTTTCTTGGCGAAGGGCGTGTGTCCGGGCGGGTAGTATACAGCGGGACCCGACACGTTGTTGGTGGGAGTTTTGTTGGTGTCCCGCTTCTCGCGAGACTCGTGGGAGCTCTCGTGGGACACTTCCACCTTGCGATGGTACACGCCGTCCGGTTGTGTCGGAAACCGCTACCGATACCAAACAAATAAAGGTTTAGGAATTGATACTAGATTAGGTACTTTGTTTCCAGTTTTCTTCACTGATTTGTTCATGTTCATATAAACTAAACGTAAAACAGGAAAGAAAAACATTCTTAATTCCTACTCTAAAATATGGTTAGTAATATTGAATGAATATCTGTTATTTGTCGTTGATTATTGTTTTACTTAGTAAAGTTTTTGAATGGCTATAACTATAGCTATAGCGAGTACCTATAAAGAAAGTTTTGTAATGAAACAGAAGGAGACTAGCGCGGTTATAAAAATATTTAATTTTTTTCGTATTTTTCTATTTATACAACGGTCCAATGTATTTTGTAACTTTTGAAATACAGTTGGCAGCATATAGTGATTAATCTATGTAACCAATACTATACATTTATACTATCAAAAATGAATTATTCATTAACTCTGCCACTTGCAAGTAAATCGCACTCACCGCTTCAGGGAAGTCGGCTAGTAAGTCGTCCAGCTTCTTGGGCGGTTGTTGATTGCCGGGGGAGGGGGTGGTGGGGCGGGGGAAGGACGCGGGTGTGGGGGAGGGGGCGGGCGCGGGGGAGGGGTAGCGCTGCGTGGTGTTGTGGGCCGAGTAGGATGTCTCGGAGTATTTGTACGATGTGGGACCCTGCGAATATTTATACAAAAGGATTTTTTATATCACACATATTTCTTAGATGCCAAAGTGGGAGTTAAATTCTAAAGTATTATGAAAATCTCAAATAATGAAGATACTATAGAACCCAGACCTTTATAAGTTAACTTTCTTATCGACTTATTTTGGTCGGATAATGGTTTGAAGCTGGCTGGTAATTTACAGATAAATCTTATTATGGAAAAAAAGGTGAATAAGTTGATTATATTGAACAACTTTTACTATGGGAAAACCTCTGAATTCACGAAAAAATAATTAGCCGTTTCATACTCTTGCCGATTTTAAGTATTACGATAGGATAACTTTTTTATTAATTATATAAATATTCTATTAAAGTCTGAGAAATAATGTAGAAGTAACAGCATATCTGCGATTAATATTATCGGAGATACGGAGCTTTGGAACTGCTGCTAGTCGGCCGAAAACGCTCCCTACAAATTCAAGGCACTAAACGACTTCACATGGTGCTACGGTTAGCGAAAAACGTACATTCGTCAGGGCAATCTTTGTAATATCTTTGCTATTTGTGCTTTTATGTTCTAAAGAAATTTTAACTAATTTAATGCCATATGTATTTTAGCAAATACTTGTAGTACATTTTCCCTACCTTTTCAAGTTTTCAAAGCTTAATATTTTCTAAATTACAGTCATAAAATTTAAATTTATTTTGTATCCGAATATACAATAGAAACTTGTATTTTATTTGTAGAACACAAGCATATTTTGTATGAAAGAGCTGTTAAATTTCTCCGATAGTGTAAGTCGTTCGGTATAGTTAAGCCAGCCAGACGAGACCCCCGCACCCAGTAGTGTACCTGCGGCGGGCGCGGCTCAAGATGCGTGGTGCTATTGGCGGGGGCCACACTTATGTGCGAGCGGCCGCTGCAGTGCGCGCAGTACTGGCAGCCCGCAGGGGACGGGGACGCCTGGAGGGTGTTGCTCCTGTATCATATCACGCCGAAAGCTTACTATAAGGTATCCGATTATATAACAGATAAGAACGCTTGGACTTGAGATGATCCAGCAACTGGATACGTAATTACTTCTAAACTCATTATCTTGTTTCCATTATTATTAAATCATTTAATAATGTTATCATTATAAGACTATTTTTTTTTCTATCTCTGTTTATAATGTACTGATCTGGTAATGACATGGTTTTTGTAAATGTCATTACTCATATTAGAGCTGGTGAGTTTCTTGCTCATTCTTATTATCGGCCAAAAGACGTCCTGAACGAGCGGTAGGGAAAAAAATGTTGGACGATTCAAAAATACCTACTTTTAAGAAGTCTATTTGAATAAAGATTATTTTGACTTTAACTTTGACTTGACTTGTCACATGTAGATTTTCTATATAGTTGTAACGTTGTCTGTCTTCAATTTCAAAGAATCTTAATAATTTCTTGTTCATTTGAAGCAAAAAAAAAAAAGGATTTTAGCTATTTAAACATGCGAGATCACTGGGAGTATCATTATTTACATTATTTTTAAATGACCCTGTATAAAAGGCAAAGGTGACTGACTGGACGGATTAAACAGAAATTTAGCACGCTTATACTTAAAATCTGTACAAATGAAATTGATTTAAACCCATTATTAGGTATCCTCTACCAGTCAACCGGGGAGTTGTATCAGAGAAAGAGGTTCACTAAGAAATGATCTTGAGAAAGTCACTCTCGTAGGCGTTAAACAGTGATATAATAAAGCCGTGTACATACGTGTGTAATGTTTCGTTGGTGACGTATGAGTGCTGATGGTCCGCGTGCGTTGGCAGCGGCAATGTTGCGGGATCGCTTCCCGCGGGAACCTCGTACGTGTACGTCTTCACGGTCGTCGTCACCTTGTTCATAGGAGTGCCCGATCTACCCAACTGATATACAGGGCAAGTTTTCAATCAGTTAGTATCGTTCCTATTATATATCTCACAAATATTTATAGTAAACAAATTGTAGGTATGACGATAAAAATATCGATCACTATCCTCATAGTAGAGCAAACATTAGGTAAGTAGCAACGTTTTACATAATTTGCTTCTAGTCTCAGATGCAATTTAAAAAAATGTCCCTTCATCGGTTATTTGATTGTGAAAGGTGTGTTAGATGACATATTGTAGATTAATAATATAGAACCTGGTTTCCGAGCTAAATCAGGGACTATCACTGCATGTTATCAATGTTTTCTGTGTATAATTTTTTATTTATATTGTTTAAATCTTGTTCTCTCAGTTTGTGTTCGATTTTAATGAATAAGTTCAACTCACTCATTCACTCCTTTCATAAAATTACTATTTCGTGAATGATGCATTCACAATAAAACGCTATTTAGGATATCATTTCAATGTTGAGTTAGGAGCCCCTGATCTTAAAATGAGTTTATCTTTATTTTCAATATAATAAGAGACAAATAAAATATATACGTAATGTTTGTTAACTTACCGTTCCAACAGAGTGGCAGTGAGTGCACACTGGCGCGGGGACCACACTGGGCACTACTGCGGGAACCACGCGGGATTCTACACAGAAATAGGATAAACGAAGATTAATTATTTTTTTAACACGCAGGAAAAAATAATTAACTCTCTCTACACTGGTTTTTTATTATTTATTAATATAATAATAGAGCATTCACCTGTTGTTTCTTCTCTGAACATCTCCTGGCGTAGTTCAGAAGTCTTCGCTGGGACAGGACTCCACGACGATGAACTCTCCAAGCGTTCATCGCGCTTTTTATTCGTTCCTGTGTAATATGCAATGTTGCAGTAGAATAATTTAGCAAAACTAAATAATTCTTGGCGATCCATTTAATAGTGCTAACAAAGTGCACAAGTGTATCAGATAAATTGTTAATGTGGTAGAGAAGAAAGAATAGTGGTCCTAAGAAACTTCCTTGAGGAACTCCGATTATGTTTAGAAGATATTGAGAGTGGAATGTACTTTTTAATGACATCATTATGTTTTCCAAACAACCTTTTATTCAGTCATACACTTTTCCCTCTAATGTCGTAGCTTCTGACAGCAGAAAATATAATTGAAAACTTTGCTTAAATCCAAAAATGACGCCCTTATTGAGTGTTTATCTTTTAAGTAATCATATTCGTCACCTGTGGTCTCCTCCCTGTAGTACTGTTGCCGCAGCTGAGTGGCGGGGGGCGGAGGGCTGGAATTCCAGGATGAAGTCTCCACGCGCTCCTCACGCTTCAATGTTGAGTACCCGCTCGATGGAGCCTTCACTGCAGTACTGATCAACAATACGAATACGAATAAATATTATTGATGATGGATTGATGTCGGCCCCGGGAGTTGGCTATTGTAAGTGGCAATTTGCATCAACTATCTAAGTTAAATAAATTCAACTGTCTTTGAGCTCTATTTTAAAATATAATGTTAATTATTCTTAAGTGCAAGTACTCGTGTAATGTTAAATTACAAACAAAATACAAGTTTATCCAGCAAACAACTATTCCTTTACAGTAGAAAAATTGGACCACAAGCCAAAGTATTATGTGAGCATTTTAAGTAAACTATCCATCCATAGAACTATCATCAGAGGAGTATCATTATTTCCTCAAAATAATGACTATTTTTGTACTACAAAGAACAGTCAGTAGCCCAAAAAATTCCGTATAGCATACCACGGCCAGATCAATACAGAAAACGCACTTTTCTATCGTCTACAGTCTGGTTATAGTTTTGATGTCTTAGATTAATCAGGGATCTCAGCAGCGTTAACAATTTTGACTTATATCTATTTTATTTAATAATTTTGAAACTCTTACCCTCGTTTGTAATCAAATGACGTGCTTTCGGCTGTGTCGGATGTATAACCACCTGAAATAAAGTTATCGCGTTTACATTAATATTAGAATATACTATAAACAATCTAACTTAAAGTATTTTAACAGCAGAGGTTACCAAAAACGTGATAAAAATTCTAGTAGTAATAGTACCTTATCAATAATCTAGATCTGTATTTCCCAAACTACGTCTTGCAATCGGGATCCAACGTGTATATGGAACGAATTTGAGTGATCCCTAATGAGCGATTAGCCACTATATAAGACAATGTTATGCACTCTTTTTCCCTAAGCTTAGAAGTGGATTTCAAATTTTTTAAATTTTATTAGATAGGATCAACTCCAGCAGCTACTGGTTAAAACAAAATAACACTTACTCTTATAAAGCTGCCTTTCCTGGTCCTTCTGCAGGTCGTCCAGTAGTGAGTCCAGCTCTTCAACATTCTGGGACAGGTCTTTGGTCACTTTCGAGCTTGTTATTTTTGAATAACCTGGAACAAAAGTATTAATATTAAGACTTCTCATAAAAGTGTGATGTATAATGAATAAGTATCAGCGGGTACTTATCATTAGCAATTTTATAAGTAGATAGAACAATTTTTCAGGCATAAACGTTGCTCCTTTTGTCTACCTTGTTTCTTTGTCGCTAAATATATGTTCGAGAGTAAAGACGCGTGTTTTATTAATTATATAATCACGGACATAACAAAAAGCAAAGACAAAATTAGATAATATGAACAGACTATATATTGTTTTAAACTTTCATGGTCATTTTCATCCGAATGATTGCAAAAACGGGATTGCTACCAAGTACCTTATATTTTATCGATATTTCAGTTACTCCGTGATCATGGCGCTGGTAAAAGCGCACAAAATATCGGGAACTCGTAAAATATAAAGTAGGTACGTGGTAGCAAGCCCGTTTTAACTAATCATTCTGGTAAACAGACTACTGTTACTAATAAGACAGATAGATAATGGCAGCAATTCTGTTGCACAAACATTTTTATTTGAGTTTAGAGAGTGATACAACAAAATTGTCACCGGTGGCGTCATTAAAAAAAGCGCCATATACTTGATTAATCACTGTCTTTCAATTGGTTTTGTACCAAGAAATAGTACACAAAATAACAACACTACTGCTACTGCACACGATAGAATAGTTTTAACTCAGAGTACGGAGGATTAGAATGTTGATCTTTTAGAAGTAACAGTAATTTATTCTATCGAAAAACTAAAATAAAAAGAAAAACGATGAAGCACTCCGAGAAAAAGGAGCTAGTAGTGCTCTTGCGCTTCGTCTTGTCGTCTTGATTCTATTCATGTTTTGGCCCTTTCATAATTTTATGTAGTTTTTATTTATTTTATATATTCAATTACACCTTATTTTGGAAGTTATTTATTTGTACAAAATCAGTTATTGTTGAAAGTTACTTTTCATAACGAACTATCGATAATACCTGGAGTGGAAGTATTTGTGGTCTCGTAGTTATAAGTTCGTTTGCCTGATGTAATGGAGGGCAATTCACGTTCTTCTCTCTCGTAGTAATAAGAGCTACTTTCCGATGACTTCGGAACTGTTTTAGGAGGAATGGTGTATTGCTGAAACAATAGAGACGATTTAGAAACATTTTTTTTTGTCTCGGCGAAAACTTAAGTCCAAGATTAATACCTATACTGAGTCTCGTGATGGAGTTGAAAAGTTACTATGGGAATTAAGTAATCTAAAATTTTGTAACAAACAACGGAACATCGTCGAATTTTGGCTCGTTTGATTTTTCTTGATAAGATCTCGCCTTGAGGTACGATCGCCTGATTCCCTAGCTAACAGCCAGTTTGGATAATCCAAAAACGAAAGGTTTTATGTTAATTTAGTATAGTTAAGTAGAAATATATTGTAGAGAAGTTGTAAAAAATAGAGTTAACTTAAAAACTTTGTTACTTATCTTTCACAAAATGTTCGTGTTAAATTTTGATGTTATCTGAGCAATGTTATTGTATTTTATTGTCTTATAATCGTCTACCTTTTGTCTACATATCTGATAAAGTAATTTAATATTTTGGTTTGTTCAACAGAACATCAATAGCTTGTAATTAATTATTGCAATTTTATGGTAACCCAAAATGTTGTATAATTTATAACTTTTGTCAACCTATATAAATCAATAAATAATTCTCTAGCAATAAGAAATGACATCTTAGCGATATAATGGCGATGTTTTGTTTAATTTTAATAAAAATTCGTCATTCGTCGTTATTAAAGTACACGTTAAAGCAGTAAAATGAAACGAAATATCGATAAGATATCGTATCATATGGCTAGAGAGTTTTTTAGGCGGTCGCTCTGCAGGTCAGGTAATACCAATCAACAAAAGTTTTATTATTATTTACCTCAACGGTATGCAAATCCTTCCGGTCGTATTTTCCTGTGGGATGTTTCTCCTCCTTGTACTCGTAGTGGTACTCCCGGGCGCCGACACCGTTACCCAGAGTTTCTAGCTTACTGCCCTTCGGGATCAACTCAGATTTGAGCATGTCTGGAAAAAAGGAAATTCTTATCAGCCTATTATTTTCCCCGTGCCCCAGCACAGGTCTTACCTGTGGATAGTATTGAATCTAATATCGAGAACAGGCGCAACCAGGCGGGACTGGTGAGGATTGGTGCGTGTAAAGTTTTAAAATTATTATTCGTCTATCTTATAAGTGGCTTCTTCAGCTACCGAACGCGCTAACCACTTCGACACTGAGCTAGCGGTGTCACCTATTGTTATAGATAGAGTTTATCTAACTTCAAAGGGAATATATATAGAGTGCGTAATTAACGTGTGTGTTTTACAATTCACTACCCAAGCTACTCACCATCTCACACGCACTCAGTCATTATCATTCTACTCACCGAGACATAACGCTCTAGGTTAGGTAAAGTTTGTGCCAAATATAAGAAACAAATTTCATTGTTATTGATCTGCTTAAAATATACGTAGTAATTCTAAGAATCTAAGGTTTTGAGGAGCTGTATGATGAAAGACGGGTTGATAACTCGGTTCAGCAACAGATGCTAACTAAATAAGTACAGTACATAATAAGCTTAGATGTATCGAAAATCATGTATTTTGTTTTGGTCTAATTAATATTATTATTTGTACTCATGCCAGATAACAACTTTCTCGTACCAATAGTTTTTGAGCTAAACTGTGGACGGACGGACAGTCAGACGTGGCGAAACACTTTCAGTGCTATTAATAAACAAGGTTTAGCGTAAAAGTAAATTTACGATAAAATTGCAATTTTAGTATCAGTCCGAATACATATTACTGTAGATAATACTGGAGTATATATTACTCCCATAGATCCTCGTGTTAAGTTAACATTTGTTATGTCTCTGTTTAATAATATATGAATTTTGACTAATACTAATATTGTTTATTAATAACACTATAAGGGTTCTTTGTTTACTACGGAATTCTAAAAAAGAGTATTTTGTGTATTGGTTACAGATTACGTCTATATAAAATACAGAACTGCTGGTAAGCCTATATCAAGCTCCTCATTATCATGTGTTTTCCAAGAATTTGTGTACATTTTTTTATTTAATTTATTTAATTAGGAAATTATATCTGTCAACTCCATAATATGGATCGCTCTTGTAATTTGCATGCCTACTAAGCTCAGTTAGTAGCTTTGGTTGTAAATTAAATATATGCAAAGGTGCAGAAGCAGGCCAGGCCAGAGTCAAATGACTCTGCGCGGCAGGACCTGAGTCCAATAGGTTAGCTCTCAAAATTAAGTGCTTAATGATTTGCCGGACCGATAGATTATTACAGATTACAGCAATCATAATATCACTACGATAAATATTACAGGTTAATTTGGCTAGACAATAATCAACCCTAAATAGACCATTCAAGAGCTGCCCTGCGATTCTGTGAAATTCACTCACGAATTCACTTCAAAAGCGGCATCCGTTTAATCCTGAATTGGTAATAAAGTTTCGTGGCATAAGTGAATTCAAGGTTGAATTCGAATTCGGGTTCGGATATCTTCGATAAATGGTAACTCACCGAATTGTTCGTCAGCATATGGGACGTTTGCACTCCCGCTGCTTGAGTATTCCTTGAATTCTTTGTGTTTACTGTAGCTGTGGGATTTTGTAGCCATTTTGTTGTGTTACCTGGAAAATAAAGAGAACAGTATTATGAATATATCAACACAAAAGGGATCGACACTAAATCGGCGCATATCGGACCTCAAAAACTATATTGCGTACTCGCAAACTATTTCGCTATATCAGTGCTCTGTAAAGCCCTTGGCTAAAAAGTGACACGTATCAGTATCATAATAAAAAGGCAATGAATTTTTTTTTGTTTTCGTTATGAAAAAAATTATATGTTTATATTATATTTACTGTGACAAAACCCTTAGAAATATGATTTTGTGTTCTCATTTTGGGGTAGTAAACTAAGAATCTTTATAGTTTCGCCACGTCCATCTGTCCGTCCGTCCGTCTGTCCGACCGCGGTTAAGCTCAGAAACTATTAACACTAGACAGATACTGATATGAATATACATATTAATTAAGCTGACAAAGTGATAAAGTAAAATTACTCCTTTACATGTAAAGTGGGAATAATAATAATATTATTTTCTTCCCCATACTGTGGGGCATCGTTGGATAGGTCTTTCAAAAACATTGGGAGTTGTGGAAAGCCCGTTTTTTAATTTAGTAAACAGTATGTGACTTATTAAGCTTTAAAGAGGTACCTACAACTAAACGGTCGTTGCTAATAATTCAATTCAAGGGTTACGGCAGTAGTACGAAGTTAAAAGGAAAACTATCACACTCAAGTTGACTTTACAAGTTTACTAGTAATAGTCGCACAAATGTATTGAACTCGAAATTTCCGAACAACTACATGGGATACAACAAAAGTGATTTTATTTAAATTTTTTATGCGATGAATGAATGGCACGGAACCCTGCGTGCGCGATTCCAACTCGCATTTAAACGGTTTTTACAGCCTTTGTAGACGTTATTTGAAAGTTACAAGTTAATGATTGCTGTACGCGTCCCACACACGCCCTCTTATGAATATGCTTTTTATAGCACCTATATAATTAAAATCGTATTTTTTAACTAACTTTTCTAATTACGATGCGATGTAATTTCGAAAAAAATATAATCTATTGGGTTAAGGTTAGCTTAGAATAAAATAATTCTTCCATGATTATAATAGGTTTGACTCGGTTTGTTTACACGATAACTTGACAGTACATTTATCCCAAAGGAACTGTTTAGTGGGATAAATAGTAGCCCATATGTTAAATCATGTTAAAATTTTTTGTTAATGCATGAAAAAGTACCTAAGAGGCATCTTCACATACTTTGTCATATATTATAATTATTAGTAGGAAGATGACCCTTCCTTTAAAAAATACCATGAAGTACTTACCTAGGTCTACTTTTGCCATAATTTATATTTAATAAAACAAACAAATCCTATATCAATGTAAAATGCAGCATTCGATCGACAACATCTAAGGCTCATATAATACGATAAGCATCGTAAGTAACATTCTATATTAGGCGGTGAAACTTAATAAAGGCGCAGGCGTGGGACGAACTTTTGTGTTCAAATCCTTTACCATGGTCTCTTTAACTCGATCCAATGGCAACTGCAGAGCTTATTCTATTTCTTATAAATATATGATGTAGTTTTCACATTATACATATATTATATATATTTCTTTTTTTTATATTATTTATGTATATGTAAGTGTATATTATGATACTATGTGTGTGGTATTGTATGTTTATTAATTGGGTACTTATCATTAGCACTGTTTTTATTTTCTTTTTATTTTGATTTGGCCCAGCGGGGCGTCACCACACCACCTAAAGGGGCCAACTGAAAAGCGACGCTGCAGTTAACTGCAGCACATGTCGAGTTGGCACCTTTTAGACACCACATCGGATGCACTCTATAAGTTAATAATAATTTATTAATGTCTTTTGCAAAATTGCATGAGTGTATGTTTAATAAATTATTTTTCTTTCTTTCTTTCTTTTTAGGTTTACGTAACCAAAGGGTAAAACGGGAACCCTATTAGTAAGACTTCGCTTTCTGTCAGGCTGTACCTCATGAACCGTGAAAGTTAGACAGCTAAAATTTTCACAGATGATGTATTTCTGTTGCTGCTTCAACAACAAATACTAAAAAATAGAATAAAATAAATATATAGCGTAGCTCCCACACAACAAACTTGATTTTTTTGCTCGTTTTCAATACGGAACCCTTCGGGCGTGGGTCTGAATCGCACTTGGCCGATTTTAATTTTCACTCGTACTAATTCGCACTTATTCTATTTGTCATTAGACGAAAATGCAGCAAATTTCGAATCAATCTAAAATTTTCTTAAAATTATATCCATGAAAACTGCATCAAAAGCAATGTCAGTTCCATAAATTACCGAAAAATGCGTTTCTTTGGAGTCATATTAGAATTTATATTAATAGAATAGATCTTCAAGTAGGATAGTTTATTAATTTTTTTTTTATCCAAATATATTGGAAACCAGTGATTTTTTATTCAGATGTCTTGATTTTTGGTCAGAAATCATGGTAGGGCCCCAATGCAACTGGCAGCCGCAGAATGTCAATTGGTATTGATGTCTTTTAGATCGTTATCATCTCATTTAACCCATATTAAAGACTTATTTAAATAAACTGTTTGTTTCATAACACGTATTGATTGAAAGAAATTGTTAATGTCTGGACTTGTCTTGGATATCATCAGTTCGTTTTCACATCAGATAGTTTTAAACCGGTAATGACGCCTTTTTTTAGTACCATTTAAGTTATTTAAGAAAGATTAAAGAATTTGAGATCTCTCATATTTCACGCAAGGTGTAGTGGAAATACACAATAGTAGCCATTTCGTTTTCCCGGCAATATAGAATTCTCTCCACTCATAAATTCCGCCGTACACAGTTGACGGCTTAATAAAAATAAACTTTAAATTGTCTAAATGGCTTATTTGAGTTTCCTGTATCGGCGCTATAGTAACTGATTAAGGTACTTGCATCATATCTAGTGCCTAAATATCCTAGAACATGTCTGAACTAAACTGAACCAAAAAAAAAATATCAAATTGTGATTTTGGTTTGTTTTGACGCTGTTGTGTAGAAGATGTTATCAAAGACAACAATTATACTCCTGTGTACTATAACAAAATAAGTTTACTTCTCTTGTATATAGCATTGAAAACGCAATTAGAGAGTATTTAAAATGTCTAACTGCGGCGCTTCCAGTATAATACTAATATCGAAGTTACATTGCTAAGATAGAGGCAGGACCAAAACTGTTTACTTTATGCATTGCAGTGACGAGCATAAAATCACGAAGACATCGCCTTTTTAGGTTAATTCAATAACAACGCTCAGTGATAGACTTGTGAATAGAATGATTTATAAGTCGTACTAATTTGACGATATATTATATAGACTAACTGACCGGCAGGGCTACCGCTTAACTAGATTTGATTTGGGTGTCTTCGAATTCAATCAAAGTGCAATTTTAATTGATTCCGATGTCTATGTATTTTATTCGAACAAATTGATATAATTAATACTATTAAGTTATTAACTCAAAACTTAATAGTAGAATTGAAAATTTGTTGTTTTCATCTTGAATAAAAAATGTCTATAATCGCAAAAATAAAATAAAATCAATTATGAACATTAACGATATCTATTTGTGAACAGAAGTAATAAAAAATCACTATCTAGAAAACTGATTTTAAAAATGGAACAGAATTTCGTCGAACTTGAAGAAGTTATATAAAAAAGGTTATATACAAAGTAATAATTATAAGTATTCTATTTTTGAATAGATTGTACATAAAATAATAACTTACTCCTTTCCCCTCATAAAAAAAACCAGTTGACATTCGTGAAGCTGAACGCGCAGCCGTGACACACAAAACAACCGTCATTGCCCGTTTTGGTGCGCAAGGATTGCAGCTGTTCAAATATTTTGCATATTTTATTGTTACGAACATTACAACTTTTAACACCCACACACGAAACAACTGTATAAGTGAAAAATACTGAATGAACTATCAAATGAAACGTGGTGTATTAGGATTAGGTGATATAATGAGGGTGGTTTAAATTTTAATTATATGAGTGTTACCCGCCATCAAAGAATAATTCAATGCTTTTTAATGTCGTTATTTACCTTATAAAAATTATTAAATTTAAAGAAAAATATAATTGTGTTGGCATAATGTATTAAGTATTTATTTCCTTGTCATGAGTAAAATAAAAATATCGCTAAATTAAAAATGTAGCATTGGATACATTTAAATTAAATTATTGATGATTTAAAAGCAAAACGCGAAAACATTAGCAACCGTATTTAGACTTAATATAATATTTTTGTTTATAGGTATAGCTAAATCAATGTTAACATTCTAGATCTCAGTCAGACCTGCATCGCGCTTACAAAGTTTTTCCGTTCACTGTACTCAAAAATATGTATACAACAGATTCAAGTGGGGTCAGCAGTCTCGAGGTAACTCAGTTTCGCTAAGCTGATAGAACCAAAGTTAGCGAATCATTGAGACGGGCAGCTTGTATAGCGGCCAATAAATAAAGTAGGGATTTAACATCCTCTCCCTACCTCCGAGACGAAGCACAGTTCCAATAGGACAACTCGACTCCTTTTTTAATATTTTATTTTGCTTTATTTGGGACCAAAAACAATACACAATTCAAGCGAATAAATAATTTAAAAAATAATTGTTTCATTATGCAACCAGCAACATTGGCCACAACACGTACATTTTCACTTCGCAGCTTCTGAAATGAAAAGAAATGAAATTGCGTAGATAACATAATTTTAAAACCTTTGACTTTGCGTTGCTTAATTTTAAAATCCTTTCTTAGGGAACCTCTATGATAACTATACTGCTCTTTTAAATAGAACCAAAAAACCACAAATATGCGTCCCGCCCCTGAATGGGATTCGGCGTAAAGATATAGATAGGATGAAAAGCAAAAAAATTTAAACTTTGTAAACGCATGGCTTGTAAAAGTAGTTTCTCCTTCCTGTTTGTCAGTAATCGTTGGGGCAAATGTGACCACAAAATTATTTGAAA